TGTGGGTGACAGGGGCAGCGCCCCAACCCCCTGATTGGCCCTGCTCTGTGCCTGACAGGGTACAGAGCCCCAACTCCCCTGATGGGCCCTGCTCTGTGAGTGACAGGGTGCAGACACCCTTTGAGTTCCGGTGCTGCCCCAGGTGGGGCTGGCTGGGGAGGGACCAGGGGAGGTTGGCTCCAGGGCATGTCCAGACCTTTTCACCCAGTCCCATCCCATCGGCCACCTTCTAATTAATTTCTTTTCAATGTGCACGAATCCGTGCACTGGGCCTCTAGTATCACTATAAAGCAGGAACAGCACTATTCCTGCCACATAACATGTACTCTATCATGTTAGCTGTCCTATTATGTAATTTTGTACTTCATTCCCACTTTACTCAATCTATCAAAGGACTTTCCAGACTAAATTTAAGTTATAAGAAAGTTGATATAGAAGTTGATATCCTATATAATAAAAGAGAAAGATGGTAATTGGCGTACGACTGCTACCCTTTTCATTGGCTAATCAGTGAGATATGCAAATTAGTTGACCGTCAAGATGGCGGCTAATTTGCATACATCCGCCCCAAGCCTCAGACTGAAGCTTTAGGCTGGGGCCTGGGCAGAGCCATCCAGCGATCATTGATGGCGGCAGCGGCAGGGAACCAGGCGGAGCCAGCCAGCTATGCTTGATGGCGGCAGCGGCAGGGAGCTGGGCATGCTCCGGCCCAAGCCTAAAGCCAGAGGGGCCGGTCCAGCCAGCCAGGGATCCTTGATGGCAGTTGCAGCGGGGAACCGGGGCGGAGCCAGCCAGCTATGCTTGAGGGCGGCAGCGGCAGGGAACCAGGCGGAGCCAGCCAGCTATGCTTGAGGGCGGCAGCGGCAGGGAACCAGGCGGAGCCAGCCAGCTATGCTTGAGGGCGGCAGCGGCAGGGAACCAGGCGGAGCCAGCCAGCTATGCTTGAGGGCGGCAGCGGCAGGGAACCAGGCGGAGCCAGCCAGCTATGCTTGAGGGCGGCAGCGGCAGGGAACCAGGCGGAGCCAGCCAGCTATGCTTGAGGGCGGCAGCGGCAGGGAACCAGGCGGAGCCAGCCAGCTATGCTTGAGGGCGGCAGCGGCAGGGAACCAGGCGGAGCCAGCCAGCTATGCTTGAGGGCGGCAGCGGCAGGGAACCAGGCGGAGCCAGCCAGCTATGCTTGAGGGCGGCAGCGGCAGGGAACCAGGCGGAGCCAGCCAGCTATGCTTGAGGGCGGCAGCGGCAGGGAACCAGGCGGAGCCAGCCAGCGATTGGTGGCGGGGGGCCGGGGGTGCCCCGGCCCAGGGCTAATAACTCACCAGAGGCTTTAGTCCTCAAAGGGAGGCCAGACCATGTGGCTTAGGCCCACTCCCCAAGGGGAGCAGGGAGCAGGTAGTAGGACATCCCCTAGGGCTCCCAGTATGTGATGGGGGCAAGCTGGGCTGAGGGACACCGCCCCCCCGCCCAGTGCACAAATTTTTGTGCACCGGGCCTCTAGTATCAAATAAAAAGTTGATAAACTTCTAAGACTTTATTCAACAATTGCCAAATTTTTGCAACTTATTTTACCCAAAAATATACATAAAATACTTCAAAAATAGCAATGCAATATTACTGAATATACTCCATTAAGAAGGCACAGCCCCAAATCTATATTCTAAAATCACTAGAAATTGTTCCTTTTCTTATGTGCTATGTCACCAAAATACTGTAAATGTGTTTCAGTTCCTTTTTAGATTTTTCTTCTTTCTACCTTTTAATTTTATTTTTGAATATGTAAATATACATGATTTTAAGATCAAAACTATAAAAACAAGTTATATTTAGAGCAATCTCTCTTCCATTGTTGGCACCTTTCCCATTACCTCTTTATACTCACAGATGACTCTATATACTATTCTGCGCCTTTGTTTTTTTTTCTACTTCATAATATATTCTGCAGGTCATTCTATATTGGTATATGGAAACTTTCTATATCTCTTTATGACTTCTGGGGAAAAGAGTGACCTGAAAGGGACACCATCTACCTGGAGATAGTTCCATTGTTGCATGTACTTTAATCAGTTCTCCATTAATAGGCATTTTGGTTATTTCTAATCATTTGCTAATACAAGTAATGCTGTTATAACTAACCTTTTATATTTTACTAGAGGCCCGGTGCACAAAAATTTGTGCACTTGGGGGCGTCCCTCAGCCTGGCCTGTGCCCTCTAGCAGTCGGGGGACCCCTTGGGGCAGCCATGGGCAAACTACGACCCGCGGGCCGGATCTGGCCCGTTTGAAATGAATAAAACTAAAAAAGAAAAAGACCGTACCCTTTTATGTAATGATGTTTACTTTGAATTTATATTAGTTCACACAAACACTCCATCCATGCTTTTGTTCTGGCCCTCCGGTCCAGTTTAAGAACCCATTGTGGCCCTTGAGTCAAAAAGTTTGCCCACTCCTGCCTTGGGGGATGACCACCTGCTGGTTTAGGCCCGCTCTCTGGGGAATTGGGCCTAAGCTGGCAGTCAGACATCACTCTGGCAGCCCAGGAGCCCTCGGGGGATCTCCACTTGCCAGCGGGGAACAGGCCTAAGCTGTAGTCAGACATCCTTAGTGCTGCTGAGGTGGGAGAGGTTCCTACCACCACCGCTGTACTGGCAGCTGGCAGCCTGGCTTGTGGCTGAGCAGAGCTCCCCAAGTGGGGGTGTACTGATCACCCGGGGCAGCTCCTGCA